CCCCCCGCCCCGGAATTCAGGAGCAGGGACAATATGGGCTGATATTAAGTTAGGGCCAACTTGACTACTCCATTGGATTTGATCAAACGTGCTTGATTTTACTTAATATGTACAAACCAGGAAATCCCCCCCCCCCCCCATAGCACAATGTTGAACCCCTTGCAAATGTTAACACTTCCCCAAGGGGAGGAAAGGCCACAGAAAAGTTTTTCAGTTAGTGCAGAACAGACAGCAATCCAGATCTAACAGTTAGGGCCAACTTGACTACTCCATTGGATTTGATCAAACGTGCTTGATTTTACTTAATATGTACAAACCAGGAAATCCCCCCCCCCCCCCATAGCACAATGTTGAACCCCTTGCAAATGTTAACACTTCCCCAAGGGGAGGAAAGGCCACAGAAAAGTTTTTCAGTTAGTGCAGAACAGACAGCAATCCAGATCTAACAGATGTCACACCTTGTCCAGAGATGCTCACACAATCTCACAAGAACAGCTGTGTCATTGCTAACCAAAAGGGGACGTGTCATTTTTCCCGGTTCCTGTCTTCTAGCTCCAGCGTGACTTGTGCTAGATGGCCTGGCAGGAATGGCAGACGCCGAAGCGAGATGCAGCCCCTTTGCAGAAATTATCACTGTGGAGGGATGGGTTGTGTGCTCAAGCTTGGCCACATTTGCTAATGTCAGGTGCCCCCTCCCCCACCTGTCAGTAATGAAGCATGATCACATGAGCAGAGAGATGGTCCCTGGGAACTGCACTTCGCTTCTGACAGAGAGAGTGAAGCAGGAAACATGCTCCGCAGGAAGGTGCGGGTTCCACATGCAGTTATTTTCCTGCCCAAATAAACTCACCATATGAAGTTAATGACGCTGACACCTTTCATTGGCTGGAATTTAAATTACCTGTCATCAGACATAAAATACCTAAGTGCCAGGAAATGCAGGCTTAAGGCTGAACTTCTCAATTCCCCCTTTTTCATGTCCAATTTGTGTGCGTTTTTGTACTGACATAACTGCATTGTAGAAGTTACCAGCTGCAGGAAGGGGAAACAAATGTGCAGTTTTTGGCAGTGGGGGAGGCTAAAATAATTAGCATTCAAATAGTTGATGTTGATGTTGGCAAATATTGCCATTGTTAGGTTTCAGGGTTAACTCTTAGCCATGAGTGGTTTAAAATTGTTGTGTAAGGATAGCATGACTTAGTATAAACTTTTTTTATGTGCAATATAAAATGAAAGTTTAGCATGTGGCTTGCGATTCTGCAGCCAGAATGGATTCTGTAAGCATCTATGGAATTGGAATATAGGCACCCGCACCATTGCCCACACCTATTCTCAACAATCATTTGCTCATTAAAACCAAATTAACTGGAAACTTTTCTTTAAGACGGGTTCCAGTACAGGTTTGTGATACACGTGCAGCCTTAAATGCACAGGGCTTGAAGAAAGGCTGTTTCCAGCTCTGCCTGCCTCTGCAGAGAGAGAAAAAGCAAGCAAGCACGCACCTGAGCCTGTGCCTAGATCCATTTGATTCTGAGAGTCCACGTAGCTCTGACCATCCTTACCCCTCAGCAATGGCCTACAGCTGATTCTGTACCATACAGTTTCAGAGCCAGCGCAAACCAAAAAGCTGCAAATACTGAAGTATTTCTGGCGTTCACATTGTCTTCCTTGTCACATTGGACACCTAGAACTGCAGGTTCTGCAGCACAGTTCATAGGATTATAGAGTTGGAAGAGACCACGGTAGGCCATGGAGTCCAACCCCCTCCTAAGAGCAGGAGCAATCCCAACTAAAGCATCCCAGCCAGGCTTTGTCCCTTAAAATTTCTAGGCATGGCGATTCCATCACCTCCTTAGGGAACCCATTCCAGTACTTCACCAGCCTCCTAGGGAAACAGTTCTTCCTAATATCCAACCTCAACTTCCCCACCGCAACTTGAGACCTTTGCTCTTTGTTCTCACATCTGCCACCAAAGATCTGGACCCATTGGAGAGATCTGTTCTGTAACGAGGGGCAGGTGCTAGAAATCTTAGTTTTTAATTCCAGATCTTATCCATCACCAGCAGCAATTTTTTGTTTCTGGATTGTACAAGAAATGGCTGTGCCTCTCTATTGTTTGCGGCTAGCTTGTCTTTGTAATTTACTTTAGCAAGCAAAGCTGAAAGCACTAGGGTCTGCTTTTCCTCATTGTACTGTTTCCTTGTCTATATAACCCCATCATAGTTTACATATTGCTTAGAAATGTATTTATAATCAATCACTGAACCTCAGCATAGATATCATGGGCGTTAATAATTTACAAGGAAATGGAGTGAGGCAGTTAGCAGCAAATAAAATGATTTAAATCTTACATCCATCCTACCTACACACATCTGCTGTCACTTGGGAGGGAAAGTGGAATTTGAGCTTACCATTGTATTTAGAGAGAGGTCTGTTTTACTCAATAAAAAGGATCTCCATTTCTTAGGGATTCAATCTCTTGCTCTATTTCTGAAGATATTTTTGTCCTTCACAGAATGGTGCTATGAAATAGCTCCTTAGCCACTCTTTTTCTTAGCATGCAATGTCACTAGCACTCTAGAAATATCACATACATTTGTCAAGCAAGTAACAGCTGAGGGAACCCCAGCAACTAAAACTAAATAATGGGGCTCCAAAGCAGAAAGTGTCAGGGTTCTGTTCTAGAAAGGATCTGTAAACAATTAAAATCTTCAATGCTTTCAATTTAAGCTTTACATTTGATATACAATTTCATACTCCGAGAACATACCTGTTGCAAACTTGTATTAAAAAATAATTAACAACATTTTCATGCGTGCGACAGATGTCTTTCTGGAATGTGTTTTTCATCCAGTCCTCAATATTACACACCTTGACTCTGCTTGAATGCCAGCAGATGGACAGGTACCGTAAAGCTGGTCCCAAGAGAAAATTATTCTTCTTTAATTCCACAGGAGAATGGAAATGCAGCACAGACCATAGTAACGGATCCTGAAACACTTCAAGCAATTTGTGACATGTCTGGGCTAAACTCTTTCTACTACTTTTGTCCAGGAAAGAGAATAGATGCAGAAGGCATTCCCAGTTAAGCTGGGTTATGTGCATAGCTCGGGCAGAGCTGTGTGTTTAGGAAATAGGACAGTGTATCCTGGCAAATGGACCAACAACAATCCCATAGGGACCTGGCAGGCCTGATAATCACCACTGGGTGGTTGAACATATATGGTTGTGGAATGGGGTTTATTTTTGGCCAACAACTGGCACAGAAGTTAAAAAAAGGAAGCGGCTCAGAGTCCCCTGTGCATCAGACTGTTGCTCCATTTCTTGTCTAGGGGAATGGAATGGCCACACAGACAAGCAGCAATTGAGTTAAATCAGATGTTTCCTTAAAAGGAATTGCTTTCCTCAGAGTAAAGCCTGAGGTTATGCAAAGGGCCAGAGGCAGTTCAGATGAACTCCTAGTAGCCACAGCTGCAAAGGAAAAGCTGTGCAGGCCTCTGTCTTCAGTGAAAACTCAGAGACTCTCAAAATTATTGTTTAGCTACCTTAGAAAACACTGCCTATTGGAACAGGGCCAGGTGAGGTAGTACTGATAATGGGCTTGTGTTGTCCAATAGGCATATAGTAAAACAAACTCAAAGAAACCAATCTGAAGTGATTGGAAACAATCTGTAAATAGACTGGCATGTTGACACTTCTCAAAAGGTTTTCAGGTTTCCATTTACAGCCTCAATCTAAAACTTACCTTGAGAACGATAGAAAATGTCTGCTGTTCCCTATGTCCATGCCTTCAGTTCTCTTGGGGTTGCCCTGCAAACCCGTCTCCAGAGGGCGAGTCAGTTGCTTTGCTGCTGTGTTATTGCATTTTAAGATAAATAATTTGTGATCATAGCAATGTGTTGTAATAGGGAAATTATTCTGAACAGCTCCAGTCATTTAAGTTATTCTCCATTAAAATGAAAAAAGTTTACTAAGCCCTTCACAAAGACACTGTAGCAATTTTTGCCTGAATTAAAATGCTAGGGTTGTGACTATTTTCAATCTCATTAATGGACTAATGTCTGTGTGAAGCAATTAATGTGACTATTAATGAACCTTGTGAAGCAATGGGATAAATTACTTAGTATGATTTAAGCAGTTTTTAGTGGTGTTGATTAAGCTGTTGATAGAGCCATGTTTGGCCCTTGAATGAGGCAAGCAGGAGGGATAGATTGATTGAAGGGGGGGGGGGGAGCTATGCAGGGGGGTGCAACCTTTTTCCAAAGTGGCTTTTT